TGACCAGACAGTTTTTGGCTAATGTCTTTACAACTGATAAGAACAGTAAATGAGTCATTTTCTACTGGTGTCTTTACTACTGATATGGACAGTAATGAGTCATTTTCATTGCTATGACATTCATGTCTTGTTTTTGCTATAGTTTATACTTTACATTGCTTTGAAACTGATTCTCCCAGCTACATAAATGATTTTACACAAAAATGATTTTACAACACCTTGAGACCAATTATACACAAATCTAAGTGCCCCAATCCTAGTTCGCGTACGTATGCTAGCATAATTACAGCGAAGGCCAAAGCCTGGACAACGCCAGGAGCCAAAGACGGCCGGCCCACCCCCCGCGCGGCCGGCCGTCGGGGTCTATTATTTAGAAGTAGCGTATAGTAGGGTACGTGGTAAGATGAATAGTGAATCTAAAAGAGTACGTATGAAAAGACAAGAGCAAAAAGAAAGAAGAGAAAGAGAGAAAAAATTGAATAATATAATAATAAGACAAAGAGAAGAACATCTTAAATTACAAACCAGGCTGCTAATACAGACAGGTACGATACAATTAGAAGAATAATATTTATATAGTATATAGAATCGAGATGGACACTGTTAGAGAGATTCTGCTACTATATAAACAGGGTGGGATAAGTGGAAGAGCTCTAAACTCATTTCTTGAAGCTTTTCAACCACTAGCATCTACATCAAGAAAGCGTACTAATACAGCTCCATCTGAACCTCCTTCGGCACAATGTAAGCGCAGACCTATTAAACCTAATGACGTAATAGAAATTAGACCGCCTGTTATAACAAATTCCGTAGGTTGGGAAGCTGCGTATGGAAATACGAGCGACCCAGCGTTAATACGCTATAACGCACTTCAGTTTCTAAGTGCAATTCCTCCAAAAACTGAAACTCCGACGCCTCCGGCGGCCGGTTCCCCCCTTTGCCAAACGTGAAATGTTCTTATTCAGTTCTAGATAATGAAGGAAAGCCTTCGGAACCATCTAGCGCTTCGTGTAGCAAATTTTAATCAAACAACCGTTGAAGATTCGGGTATTATACTTTCTATAATGAGTGTGATAATTACTTTAGCAGTTCCCATCTGTTGAACAACTAATGTTGCATCAGCAGGTAAGTCTACATCTATAAAATCGCTATAGCTACATTCAGAGTTAATATCACCAATACGATGTGTTTTTGTTTTACTTAAGACAAGTAATTTGCTAGGAGTTTGAAGTATTCGTAGTGCCCCTGCACTTGTAAAACATTTTCCACTTAATGATATTTGGTAGAATCCAGCGGTTTCGATGGTGATTGTAGAAGAATCTGCTTCACCTTTTTCACACATCGCGACATTGGTCCAATCTGAACCTCTTTTTCCAGTGACTGAAGTACCAACTTGAGTGTACACATCTACTGGAATTTCTAGTCGTTTTTTTATGTTTTCACGTCTTCTATGATGTTTTACACTACGGGCGTGGTGTTTTTTGCCGGACGTAGCAAAGCTTTGAGAACCTCACGCGTAGGTTTATCTATGTCTGAATAGTTCCAAGAAGATATGACTATTTTTTCAGCATTAGAATTATATTCTAGTTGGAATTTTTCAAAATTTTTCTCTCTATTTCGTCGTAAGTATACTTCTACTGCTCGGCGAAAGAGATCGTTTGTTGATTCAAATTTATGAACCGAAGTTTCAGCTGCGATATCGAAAAGTTATTACCGAAAAATTAGAAATAAATACGTGCGTTAAAATTTCTGCTCATATATTATACAAAGCTATTGCTTAGTGTTATCAATACAACTATAATGTCTGAAGCATTATTAGAAGACGAAATTAGCATTGAGTTAGACTCAACAAGAGCCATTACGGCGAACGGTAGACAAGAAAATAACTTTCAAATTGTCTTTAATCCAGCCATATCTTTAGATATTAACAAAAAATATCAATTGGCTCTTACTGAAGCTAGTTTGTGGAATTCGTGGGAAAATGTCACTACAAAAAAAAACCAAATTGAGTTTGAGATTAGAAATGGAAACTATGGTGATACTGAAGGTGCACAGAGAGGAGAGCTTAAACAGACTCCAATTCAACGGCAAAAAATCACAATACCCCCCGGCTATTACAACATTCCCGATATCAATGAAGCTATTGAAAATGCTATGGAAATATTGCCACATCTAAATCTGAGATTACTATTAAAGGTGACCTTGTAGTTTCCTTTGACACAGATAACAGCTTAGGCCCTATTTTGGGGTTTTCTGTGGATGGAAGTGATATTACTAGAGGAAAGACTTTAATTCAGAATCGAATTAATATTACAGATGTACAGAAGATCCATATTCACTGCTCGCTTATTAATTCAAGTATAGTAAACGGTAATTCTAGTGATGTTATTAAATCATTTACTCCAAACCGAAGACCAGGACGTTTGTTGGAAATAAGACCCAGTCCACCGACCTATTTACCAGTAATAGAAACTAGCCTTATTACTCGAGTGCAAATGAACATCACTGATCAGTCAGGAAATGAGATTGATTTAAATGGTGAGCAAGTAACTTACACTTTAAACATCCGTCCGAAAATGTGATTATACACGTTCATAAGCGGATTCCGATTCAAAGCTGTTGTTATGACAACAGCTTATTTTCTGTGTATAATATACTTAATAATAATTCAAGCAAGTAGACGGGGTTCGTCGGAAATTCGTCGGGAGGTCATTGATAGGAAACCTCGTGGGCCTTGCTGGTAAAGCAAAGGGTGCGCTATTTAGTGGGGGGAAGTCCGCAGCTGCAGCCTTAGGATCTCGCGTAGGTAAGTTTGCTCCAAAAATCAAGAATGTGGCTGTGGCGGCTGGTAAAAAAGCAATTCGTGACACGGCTACAGCAGCCAAAGAGGCTGTTATATCGACTGCAAAAGAGAAGTTCTCGCCTGAAAACGTAAGCAGTCTTGTTGCCGATCTTGCCCGCGGGGATGTTAAAGGAGTGGCTAGAAAAGCTAAATCACGTGCATCTGCAGTGGCTCGTGCTGGGGCTGAAGCTGGTATTAGTAGCGCAAAAACGCGCGCAAAAAGTGCTCGCAGCGCCTTAACGAAAGAAGCTGGATCTAAACTTAATGAGCTGGTTGGGACTTCTGAAGCTAGAAAAGCGCCAGTATCGCGCGCTGAAAGTCTTGCTAAGCAACAACTGACTTCTCGAGACTTAAGTATTCTAAGCAACTTAGTTTCTGGTAATGGTATGATGTACGCTTAAAAATGTCTGCTGAATTGATTATTTATGATATAATAGCAGACAAAAATTTTTTGATATATGTATACTGTACGAAGTACAAAAACTATAGCAATGAGTACGGACATCATATCTCCTGCACTTCGACTCTTTGACGAGCCTGTTGTCGATCGCTCTATTGAGCGTCTTCAGTACGCGAAAATTGCTTCCCGCGATCAAGATTACGACAAGAAACATGTTAATATAAATACCGAAGAAAATGACATGCTTCTGTGGTTTCACAGAGCCGTCCTTGAGGTTAGGGGTCGTGTAGTAACAAACGCTGGCGCTGACTATAATGACAACGACAACGTCGCTTTAACAAATGGTGTCTGGAGCCTGTTTCAAACGGTTCAGCTCCAAGTTAACAACAAGACTGTTGAAGAGCTAAATCAGTTTGCTTCAATTGCCAACACTATCATGCAGCTTGTGACTGTATCGGACGATTCGCCCAGGAGCACTGCTACAAGCGCTTTCTGGTACCGCGACACTGGGACTGGTTCACCTAATCCTAATAAGTTTGTGAACAGAACCAACGATCAGCTGCTTCCAGCTGCTGGTGTGCCTAATGCCACTGGTGTGACTGGCGCCCTTTTTCGGCAACACTTTAACTTAGATCTTAACGCAACAGAAAACCCTAACTTCAACATTGTGTTTGCTGCTCGCCGCCAGCTTTGCGCCGGTGCTAAAGACGTCACCATGATGCTTCCTCTTGCCGACATTTTAGGCTTCGTCAAAGACATTGACTCGGCTTTCTTAGGTGTAAAGTTTACTTTGAACCTTACTCGCGACACTGCAGAAAATACACTTCATAGAGAAAATGGGGTTGGTGCTGGAAAATTTAAGATAAATCATCTTTCGCTTTGGGTTCCTTACATCAGGCCTTCAATCGAAGTGCAGACTATGATAGAAAGCAATTGGTCGCTGGATACACACGCGTGCTGTATTTCGAGCAAAATCGTATTTACCAAAAACGATTTGGCCCTAATCAGGTCATTGCATCGTGGCTTGTAACAACAAACAGTAGTGAAGAGCTACCAACTCACATCTTTCTGGCTTTCCAAGACGCTGAACGCTTTAACAATCAAGAACAAAATATACATGTCTTTGACCATGCTAATTTAAGTCCAACTTATGTTGAGATCAATAACACTCAAAAGTAACCTGAAAAAGAGCTTGATGTTAATTACACAGCTGCTAACAGCAATTACAGCAGAGCCTACATGATGTTTCAAGACGCTGCAATGAAGTACAGCGATCTAGATGCAGGCTCTCAAGTAAGCTTAAGAGACTTTGCAAGCCTGTTTTCTATTTACCATTTCGATGTAAGTCTTTATGCCGATATATTGAGAAAAAAAAGAGGCAAACATTAGAATTCGTTGAACCTTGAACGAAGCTTTTCGTAGCGCGATTAATGTTGGTGGCAGCATAGCGTATAACATGTTCTGCTTGGTGCTTAGCGAACGATTTATTCGACTTAATGGGATAAACGGTAAAATGGACATAATCGTTTAGACTGTTTGTCTGATGTGATATGTTATTATTTAAAAATAATTTATAAGATTAAAAAAAAATTTTTCCACTGTTTATATACGCAAAATGTTTTGCATGTGCACAAAAATGTCGGACATTAATAACGCAATATTTGTTGAAGCTCTCAGACCCGCCATGGAACGAGTAATCACTCAGGAATTTAAAGGCGCTGGTATTTATCTTCCTGGGTCAAGAAGTATAGAAGGCGGTAGCTTATTGGAAATCTTATTGGAAAACTCATACCTACGGTCACTAAACTCATACCAAAAGTGTTACCGTCTCTAGGCCTAGCAGCTATATCAGGTGCTATCACCGGCAGCACGCAAAAAGCAGTTGCTGGTAGTGGTGTAGTTAGGAAAGGTGGTGGAGCTGCTAAAGGTGGTGGACGTAATAACTACACAGTTCACGGCGTTACACTTTCAACGGCTCAGAAAAATAACTTGGCAAAGGCAGTCAGAGAAGGAACCGGAGTGACTATACGACTTACCAAAAAAGCACTTGACGGCCTTGACATGCTTATGCTTACTAAGACGCAAATTAAGCGCATAATGGGTGCAAAACCCACAGGATCTGGGTTGGATCTAAAATTGTCTAAGAGTCAGATTACAGCCATGGTTTCATTTTATAAAGTACTAGCAATTTTTTTCTCGCAATAGTCACCATCTTCTGTAATAAAAATAATCACTATGTGTACTTTACCTTGACAAAATACTAATGTCACTTAAGTTAGGTTCCTTCTCTTTGAGCAAATAATAATGTTCACTATCCTTAGCAACAATTTCTTTTGCAGAATCTAAAGAGAAACAAACAAACATTAATTTATTATCTTACTAGAGAGGTTACTAAAATTGACCTCTTTGTTTTAGAATTAAAATCAATCTATTCAAAAAAATCCTACCAATTTTAGGCTTTTTTGCAATGGGTTGATTTCTTAGATAGCAACTTCTGGTTTGATGTCGTTCAGCAAGGCTAAGTGCAACATTAGTGAAGTTTCCAAGGTATGAAGCCAATCTTTTAAAGTAACTGTGCTTTGCTTCATATCGCATGCACCAGCTCCAAATCATTGGTCCAAATCTGAAAAAATCAAGGACTCATGTTAGCTAGAGGGAAACCAATGATGTAATTTTACATGCATTTTGAGTTACATACCATATTTTTATTTATAAACTAAGATACAAACCAGCAAAATCATACCTGTAAATATGAGCTGGGTAATGAACCAAGTAATGCATCTTGGGTATAACTGAAAGCCCAGGATAAAGCTGGGTGAATTTCCACAAAATTCCTTCAGGTATCCTTCCAGGATAGCAAGTTCATCAGTGTTTGTGATTGGTGAAAAAACAATGTCAACAATTTTAAGGAGCAAAAGAAAATGCATCCACTTTTCTTCATCCTGAGGAATGGCACTGCCGAGAGCTAAAGGAAGGAATTTTCCAAGGCACCACATTTGTCTTGCTATAAAAGAAAAACCAATCATTTAAATCAAGGGTGATGGTATTAATGCTCGTGACAATCACTACACCCTACCTTTTTGCTTTAAACTATTGTTTTCACTCCTCAAAGTTGTCCGGGTGATTGGTGATGGCTTGTTTTTATCATTAAAATTTCCATAATCAAAAGAGTTCATTCTTTCATTAAGTTGCTCCAATGTTAAAAATTTTTCTTTAAATATGAAGTGCTTCAGCAATTCTTTACATACATACTGAAGTACTCCTTCTAGTATATCATGCATTGCATCACCTGGCATGCCATCTGCTACATGAAAATACCTAGAGTTGCAAAGAATTGATCTCCTGCAAAGCCCATATGCTTTACTCAGTTCTGGGTTTTCTTCAATCAGTTCACATTGGCGGTCATGACCAGCACGAGTTCCAAGTGTAAAATGTTTTCTGAAAACTGAAAGACTTACTTTAAAGTGTATGTTCCTGGTCTGCTAAAAACCATAATAAAACATTTGATCTATGTTGAAACAGGTTAATAATGTATTATCATAAACATACATACCTTCTGCTTTATTTGTTCTGTGGTCCCCATGCATTGCCGGCATTTCAAATGTGCACCTGGACCTTCTTTGAATCCACCCATGAGTTGTGATCCAAGATTGTCTCCAGAAATCAACACAATAGTCCCAAAAAATGACAGAGGTTCACCTTTAACAATGAACTGGTGACCACCATCCTCAAAAAAGAAGTGTGACAGTTAATTTTAAGCAATTTTTATCAAACTACTTACTTTGCACAATTATCAATAACAGGTAATAAGCTAAAAAACAATAAATAGGATCACTTACTTGTTCAAGGTATTCAAGGTCATTCATGAAAGGCTCCAAGAGAATGTCAATGCCATATTTTTTGATAATTGGAACTGTTGCCATAAGGAGTAGGTGAATGTTATCACACTGGGATCGATATCGAGGATCAATATTTCCAGTTGTGTAGTAAACAACTCCTGTCATACAGAAATAATGGCATATGATGTAATAAGAGCTTCTTATAGCCTTTCATTGCTCATACACTTTTTTACATTTGAGTGACTGATTTAGTCACTATGATGTCATTAAACTATTACCTAACTTATGCTTTCCAGTTTTACTACCAAGGGCATTTGCAATTTCCAACTCATCATAGTAAAGCATGATTTGTAAAGCAGTTGAGTCCTTGGAAAACAGAGGATGGGTTTTGAAATAGGCATCCTCAATCACATCATGACACCAGAATTTCATTTAAAATTTCATGAAATAATTGGAATATATGGGAAATGTGCTCTAATAAACGCATGTCATCATTGTTTTGCTTTCATGGAAACTAACACAGTAAAACACACATAAAGTTCCTTTTATGGTTATACATAGAACATGTATTAATATTTTGCAACCTTGTTATTGATATGGGTACTTGCAAAGATGTAGTTGTCATAGTTTGATAAACTTGCCAACATAAAAAAACACAACCATGCTATTAACAATCTGACCTGTTCAAGTACTCCTTTTACATTGAGCATTTTTTCCAAGGATTTAAGCAGTGGTATGTACATGATTTCGTCATCTTTAATAACCTCTTTGTACACAGTCCTTGAACGTCTTTTCACAACTCTGTGTCCAAGTTTAATTCGTCTGGGTTGCTACAATTAAAATAATGATTATGCATAACAAGCACTAAAGAGCAGCTGGCTCAAATATGTTAAAATCTCAAAAAACTTTATCCAAAAACTCTAAACATTCTAAAAAAAGTCAAAAAACATAGAAATAAAACTTACAACTAAGCCAAAATGCTCCTCAAAATAAGCATTCTGTTTATACTTTGTGGAAATATGTTTGAATGGATTTGAGATAGCATGTCCTTCATCAAATAATTCATCAAGACCTGGCACATCATTATAATTTAATCCAGCTTTCTCTAAGCAATTTTGCAAACCGTGTTTAATTGCTTTGACTGTTCCTTGGACAAGTTCAGTGGAATCTTCTACAATGTTATCCACACATTTTGTGTGAGCAGATTGATTTCTTTTGTTTTAGAAGAAATTGAGCCTTTTGTGTTCCATTGCTTGAACAGAGTCATCAAGTTCATTTTCCTGTTGAATTCATCAATTAAGAGTTCAAGGCCATCCTCATCAGGACAAAATTGTTGTGAGTGCTACTCGCTGATTCAACGCAACATAGATGACGTGAGTTTAAGTCAACATTGGCGTGCTTTCTTCTAAGATGACTTTTGTAAGAGTTAACCTAAACAACAAATCCGTGAACGCACTGAATAAGTAAATATTTTAACAAATAACAAACAAATCAGTGTCGTATCAAGAATCAAAAGCTTACCTTAGCGAAGGTTGAATTACATTCCGGCACTTCGCAGATAATATGCAATCTGGCATCGTGTTCATGAACAGCGACCAAATGATGCAACATTCCAGCGACAGACGTTGAAAAACGTTGCACATACCTGACAACACAATCGTGGCATAATTAATTGAATTTTACGAATATTCTTGCGTCACTAGTCAAGTGACAACTCCGTTACCGTTTGTTAGAGCAATGAATGAGTAAAATCAGATCAATATTAAGTGTCATTAAGTGCATTTCTTTGTCCAATTAGTTGCGAACTTGCGGTGATTGGTCGATTTGGTCACATGACATCCCAATACGCAAAGCGGCACGTGCCTGACTTCCTGTTGCCGATGTATGTAGTCGCGTGGCGTGTTTCTAAACTTCTTGTGCTTTGTTGAAGTGCATTTAAGCGTTTAAACTCTTCTATTGTGGGCAAAATGGAAATCAACAAACAATCATCTGTCGCTGACAGTATTCTTTTTTTGAAAAACAACAAATTGGATGAAATTGTCGAAGATTTTAAAGGTATTGTCTCATTCTGAAATGTAGGTCGCATTTGTGAGGGTTGTTGTCTCGTGCATAAATCTTGTGTAGAAAATAATTCAAAATTAGATTTATAGATGACTTGCCTTGTTTACGTTTTGCTAGCAGGCAGATTTGCTCGAGCGCTTTTAGAGAATACAACAGCAATAACGTAATTTCATTGACGTTTTGCTTCTTATATTTTTAAAGCTAATCAAGTCGACGGCGAGGATTTTTTCAATTTAGAACCACATGATATTTATCAGATGATTCATCGAATAAAACTTCACAAGAAGTTTACGTGTATTTGGAATGACGTTACTCAAAAGGTAAATTGAAGCCTTACAGGTTTTCTACATAAAATGGTTCAGGTATGGGTTGAAGTATTAGCCTGATGAGATGGTAATATTCATATGTGCATGGTATACTTTACTAGATTCTAGTACTACAAGCAATTTTAATTCAACAGATTATATGTAGCATATGAATTTATGAATATGAGTTTTTTGCCAATTATTAATCTGCCGCTGTCCATGAGTATGTATGCTGTAGCAAAACTGTCTGTTGAATCACAATTACTTAGAGAAAGATAATTAGTTTTTTGGTTTAATTTTTTCCAGCTGAAAGCAGAGTTAGGACGTATTTTGGAGAAGAGTGATGTTGTGCAAGACATGAAGGAACGATGGAATTTGCACAAATATAAAATGCTGTCTGCTATTAAAAAGACAAAGCAAAAGAATGTCAGCAGTATCCTTGAAGAGCTGGAGGATTGTCCAGTTGAAGATGAGAAAGGTTGGTGTAAAATCAATAAGTTAAAATCCCTATTTATACTGAAGTGTTAATGCTTTAGAGAGTGATAATGGTAATATATTCATTCTATGCTATGTTGATTATTTTAGAGGTCAAGAACGGTGTATAATGGCATGTTTGCCTTATGTGTTAGATGACCAATGCACCCATCGAGATATGAACAAAAGCTATTTTGGGACATTGTTGATGTAAGAGTTGATATTGTCACAAATAATATTTTCTGCATAAATGTGTGAAAAATTGATAAATAATTTTATCTCTGTTGAAGGGTAAAAGCTTGGGGAAGTTCAAGAGATCATTAACAAAAGTTCGTCTCCTGACTCCTATCAACAGGAACATTAAGAAACATTCATTCAATAATGTTGGTGGCTGAGGGATGATTGTGGCAAAGCTGAAAACGGAAAATATTGTCAATGCAGTTATTATTTTACTTAGTTCTTTTATACTTTTAATGCTGAGTATCCTAAAGGCGTTAATGGACATTGCAAAAATGTATTTATTCTTTTAGAACATTTGCTTTTAAATTCAAAATGCAATTGTAAGGCTCAATTGCCAACTTTTGTCGATCATTTTATTTCTTCTATGAAGTAGAAAACTTTTGTAGTGTTAATTAATGGCATGTAGTAGAGATTTTAAGTATTCTGTGTTTGCAAAAAATGTGCTATTTATAATTGTGTGATTGATTTTCTTTAGCTTAGTTAAAAAGATCCTCTATATTGGTCAAATGGTCATGGATATGCACCTGAAAAAAATGCTTATTTAATGGTAAAAACAACCAAATAAAATTGGTCAAATAAATTGGTAAATTTAACCATTTTTGTTTTTGGTATTTTTGACCAATTTAGGAATTGGTTGTTTTGACCTATAAAAATTGTTCTTCTCAGGTGCATTCAAATAACCAATTTTTTTGGTTATTTTGACCAATCTATTTTTACTGTGTAGAACATTGGATTCCAGGGTTAGAAAATTACTTGATCATAAAACTAAATGGCATTTTCAAAGTTTGAAGTAAAATAACATTAAATATATAATTTTATTTTGACTATGTTGATTAAATCTACTTCATTCAGTAGCTAAATAATTGCAGGCTACCAACATGTATGAATTGCGTGCCAATTTTTTTAAATGTATGTCATTGTATTTAATAAACGCAGTGTTTTGGGAGATGTACCCAAAAGCCAAGAAATGAAAAGAAACGTGAATATTCATGATAACTACGATAAATAATGTTATGGCAAATGGCTTCACTTGGCCCCAAATGTGGACACTGTTTTTTTTCCAAACCAAAACGAAATGGGAGGGAAAACCGGCGGATCCGGTAAAAAACCCTCCAATAAAAGAAATAAAAAATTTGGAAGAATTGCCTCAAATTTTTGTAGTGTTTTATTATGTTTATATTTTTGTTGTTTTCAATGATCCCGATGATCTACTTTAACATGCAGCGTAGTCAGATCGTGCGTCTTATACAGTCGTATAAAAAATTTAAATTTACGGAGCAATAAAAATGTGGGCTGACTACCCTATTGACACAGCAAATATTTTTTGTTCGTACAAAAGAAACGCAAACTTTTGTAGAGCACAAAAAATGAAATAGTGCAGAGTGTTAACAAAAATTGTAATCAATAGACAAGAAACGAAAACTAATAGCAGCCATATATAAATCATGTATAAAAATTATTCAGCACGTAGGGACCTGACCATTCACCTGCCCATAACAATTAAAAATGAAATGACTAAAGAGACGTTATGACTTCCATAAAAATAATTTTTGATGTCTGCTAGACTTTATTCCATTGAAATTTTTTATTTTGCCTTATTAATTAATAGCTGGCTTTCACTCGTTTGTTTTGTCAGAAAATTTAACAATTGTGAACATTTAGTTATACGGAAATTTTGAACGGTCGAATTTGAAAATGCGTTATACTGATAGACATTATGGATAAATAAATTAGTAAGTGTGCATCTTGTAATAACGACGCTTGTTTCTTGGTGTTCCTGCCTGACTTCGTCGTTCATTCATTGTCCAGTTAGAAGGCCTACAGACATAGCTACTCTATAAAAAACACGTTATAAATGTCAGCATAATGAAGGAACAAAAACAGAAATTAATTATATTCAAAAGAACAAAACTTTAATACCTGATTTCCAAGGGTTGTCCTGGTCAGTCTGATCCAGGCGACTTGGTCGGTCTCTTCCTTTTTTTTCACCGCGTAGTTTTTACGTTGTATCGTTGAAATTAATTGTAAAATTTTTATCTTAGTAATTCAATGAACCCTACTTGCATCATTGCAATTTTCTTAATAAACGTTAAATAAAATTACTAAAAAGTAGCGAGTGAAAGCCAGCTATTTTCTCACAGCAAGTGACATCTTTTTTTGACACTTTTTTAAGTTGGGTGTTTTTCATGGTTAAGTTTCAAATTATAAAGATAGACCATCAGGATCCTTTTTAACTATCTCATGCAGTTACTCATACAAGTTAATTTTAACACTTATATCTACTCAACTTACAAACCACAAGATATAGATCGTGTTTTTCCACTCGCTTGTTTTCCATCTTCGTAGAATGTAGTCCATTTTTATAGTGCAATCACTTCAATGTAAATGTTCATACGTACATATGCCGTTATGCGATGTCCATTCAACATGTCGATACCAATCCATACACGAAGTAAGGAGCATCATCAACCAATAAAGAAGCTACTGATATGATGAATCGCCATTTCGATTTACTGCAATTCACAATGCACTGTTATGGTAACTTCAAGCGAAGGAAAAGGGACCGCCCTTCAATACCCCAGTTTTATCATTACTCAAAGAATGCTTAGTGCAGAGTTGATCTTCTGTAAGTATCAGTTGACCTCCTTTAGGTGGGTTCATATAACAATGGGGCCCATCATCATTATATGAACAAACAACTGACATCAACAAAGAATCCAAACTACAAATGAACATTCTTGGCCATGAATCACCATTACACATGAGTAATGACAAACTAGTAAGAGTAATTGAAGTGAATGACACAGGTGGTAAAGGGACTTTCACAACTCCAATCTTGTGGGATCTACAATATAAGAAAATATGAAACACATGTATGAGATTTCATGATGAATAACTCTGCATATGACGTTAGTTTGAATTTTATATTCTTAATCAGATATATTGAGAATGAGCAAATTGTTATATGTTTTCTGTTTGACTATTTAAACGGTAGAACATTCACCTTCATTGTACGAATAGCTTTAGTGAGTTGAGTTTGAACGATGTAACAAGTTTCACACGATCAAAGGCTTATAATCGTGATGAAAGCGTTGTACAGTGAAAGCTTTCAGATTACGAGGCCTACACTAAGACCAGTTCATTATTCCATGTAACTCATACTTCAGTATTCGTCAGTGAAAAGACAGAATTTACCTTTCTTCTAACAACGTTAAAGTGAGTAATTTTCTGTTAAAGTAAAACACACGAATTTAAACTTGTTAACGTTTCTTTAATTGACGTGATAGCTAAAATTATTATTGTGATTGGCTCCTGAGGAGCATGTCACCTTTCACAAACACAACAAGTAATCCTTTAATGCATTTTTAAGGCCTGTTTCAAACATCGCATTTTGCATGTGCCCAATGTATTTAAAACAAAAGATAATGAGGAATTTTATCTCATTATCTTTTGTTTTAAATGCATTAGGCGCATATAAAATGCAATGTTTTAAACAGGCCTTAAAAACGCATTAAAGGATTACTTGTTGTCTTTGTGAAAGGTGACATGCTCCTAAGGAGCCAATCACAATAATAATTTTAGTCATGACGTCAATTAAAGAAACGTTAACATGTTTAAATTCGTGTGTTTTACTTCAACAGAAAATTCAAAGTCAACTGACTACCGCTAAGGTTGTCGAAAGTTAAATATTCGCTGTGCAAATTATTTCCCATCCACTCATAGTGGACTTTGCTCTAAGACAGTTGACAATTTACAAGGTGTAAATACTGTGAAATCAACTCTAAAATCTCCCAAAAAACATTTTCTCAATAACCAATGAAGGAAAACGGTCACTTTCAATTTCGCGTTAGAAATGGGCTCTATGTTCTGAAAATGTTATCTATGTTCTTTTCACATGCTTTCCTTGACTTTGAAAAATGTTCAAAAAACAATAATTTTACATGGGTAAACAAAGAAATTGTTCCCGTGAGATGAAACGTAACATGTAAAATTTACCTTCCATCTTTACTAAATGATGTTTGTCGAACGGCTGCTGTACATTTAGGATGAGAGAGAACTTTTTGCCTGCGTGGGAATTAAACAAATAAAATTGCATTAAGATGATGTATGTTGTTACCATTGAACATGGAACGCTACCTGAAGCAAATAATTAAAGCCAAATCTTACATCCAGACACGCGAGATTACACGCAGACACGCGTGTTTAGTGTTTCGAGATTCTCTCGCGGAGTGAAAATTGATTGACTACACATGTCCCCCGGAGTCCTCGTCATCACTAGGACCATCCACTTAAGGCATATGTAAAGGTGGTTTCCAGTCCATTTCCTCTTCATCCTCCGAACTGCAAGTGAAGAAGACAGCTACTCAAAACTTTAGAGAAGATTGATTGTTTTTCATTTAAGATGTTTACAGTGTTTACACAGGATTATGAAAAGCAAGGAGACCTTTGGGAGAACTCGATCAGTGATGACCAGAGTCAAAGGCTTGCACCTGCTCCAAAGTTCTCACAAACGTCTCCGAGGTTTGCATAAGCCTGTGTAAACACGAAAAACATCTTTTACTTCTTTAAAAAAAAAACGATAATACAAAACAGACAAATTTAAAACAAATGATTTCATTTTTCCTGTAACATGTATTCATGATTGATTTGGAAATTCTCTTTGATTTATTTTAATTGATTGAGCTCAGATAGGTTCGCTCATACCAAGTTAGCAAATGTTACCTCAACTATAGACAAATCAACGCACGCATTTTTCTGTCTTTATTTTATAAACAAAAATGGATACTTTTACCTTTGGGAATCATGTTCCTCTTCATCATCTTTCCAAAATGGCTGTGACATTAATATTGATTCTTTATCTTCATCAATATCTTCATCATGTTCATCATCACTACCTTCTCAATAAACAATAAAATAAAAAAGATTGATTGAAAAACTTCATATAAGACAAATTTTACTAAACACAAATGGAACTGTACACAATCACCATTGATATCCATGTCTAATCATGGCAGTTTGCAAATTAACGGTGTGCAATGTGCAATTTGCACATCGTTTTAGCTAAAATGAAAACAATTGCACATCACTTTTTCAAACGATATGCAAAAACTTCGTTATTGATAACGACCACATAAATTGGAAAATGTTTTCAAGCTTAATCTTTACTGATCTTTAATTTCTAAACAAGTACGCTGCACGACATTAAAATCCATGTTGACACAATGTCATAAAATTCAAAGACGTTGTCACTTTGAGACTGGGAAGTCTGTCAACAGTCTACATACATGGTGCTTATATGCTTATGACAGTAGGGATGTAATACATTAATAATGTCAATTTTTGCATTTGCGTTGTTTTGTAAACCGTTACGTACTGTTTTTGGCATCATAGCTATTTTGAGTATTTTCAGTAAAATCAGGAAACATTTTTATTTTGATTTTTAAAAGAAGGCAAAAAAACTTAAATAAGCCAAATTTGAAAAATAATCCAAAGGGAATTTCGATTTTAAATAAGTCTAATGTGAGAAAAAGTAGCCAAATTTGGCTCAAAATATTAAGCCTAACTGGCAACCTTGATCAGCCATACTTTTTGCTTTTACATATAGCTTGTAATATGACATAAATATGATGTTTTTTATCGTAAGCAAACATCAAGGACGTTACTGTTAATAATCAGAAAGCAAAAGTATATTCGGTTATTCTCTTTTCACTTTTGCACAAAAAAGAGGAGAGAATAACATGCGCAAAATATTTCTCTCATACATTTGTAACTGGATCAGCGATTGTAGCGAAAAACATTGTCGTAAATCATATTTTGTGCACGTTTAAAAATATTAATTTAGCAATTAGCGCTATATAATAATTAACGTAATATCGATTTGATTATGCCTCTAAAGAAACCCTTTTATCAAAAAAATTGCACATCGTTTTTTCTCAACTAATTCGCACACTGTATACGATCTAACGACAAAAAAGTTGAATTTTTACCTACGTATTGTTAACTGTTAAGTAAAAGAAAATTAATAAAGGAGCAGTTGTACACATCTTCATGTAACGATGACAATGTTTAAACTTAAGAAAACATGAAATTTTATGCACTAGAAAACAGCTGCATTTTGGGATATATAAGTCAGAGCCTCGTAAATCATAAATACCATGACAATATAAAATACATGAAATGTATTGTGAGCTATACAATGATGTGACATGTATTTTTGTACCTTACCTTGTGAAACAGGAAGAGCAACTTGTGAAGATAGTCCAATATCTCGTCTTCGTTGTCTTTCATCTTCCCACATAGCAGTTATACCAGGATTATGACCAATACAACCTTCATAAACATAATAAACTCATTAAAGATGTACAAACAGTAAAATGAAGACATAAAGATAAGTAAATTTTACTTTCAACATTTATTTGATTCAAGATGTCTTCAGCAATTACATCAACTTCAAGTTCACAACGACTGACTTTTTCACAGTAGGATCCAGGCATAAATTTCTAAATAATGACAAATAACAAAAATTAAAATGATGAATACCAACTGTAAAGATAGTTATCACAAAGAATCATTCCAAAGTTAAACTAATTTTTAAATGTAAATTCTGTAATCTGGATTGAGCATTGACTCTAAATCTTGGGATAAATCATACACATGTGTCAAATTTAGGATTAAGGATTTACACAAATCCTTTTGGTTTCAATTAATCTTCAAGTGTAAAATATATGAATCAGACAAACCTAGGAATAGTGTCTTCATTCCAGTGTTGAGATGAAGGAAAATTGAGAAATGAATTTGGAGATGAACCATGAAGTGGAATTGATTTATTATTATATGAAAGATTTTTATCTATAAAATTCAATTTGATGGTAAATAATCATTTGTGGTGTTAGATTTTATAGAATGCTGAAAAATCAATAATGAAACTTTCCTGTTTTTGAAGAAATTCCTCTAAAATGAACTTTTCTTACATGAAGTAAGTTCATACCATAAAGATTGTAATCAATTAGAAACTAAAATAAACGATATTTCAATATAATTCTTATAATGTAACTTAGTGAAAATCTATAGAAGTTGACCATCCAGGTAGGAAAAGACTAAAGAAGGTCAGTGGCATTAGTGTTGAATGACATTTTAACATTGTTACCAGTAATCATCTCATCTAGATGTGAAAACATCAATCAAGACTACCCCAACAGTCCTTCTCAATACTGTAGTATCCTTTATGATCAACATCAACAAACATGCAGCTATACTTCCACAATGTGTTCAAACCATTCACTTTATTGACAAAATGTTTTGCACATGAAATTTACAGCTATAATCCATAATGGAATGTTTTATTGGGCACCTGAGATCTGATGTATAATTATAGCAAAGTGGGCACCTATACATGCAAATGTTGCATCTCTGATGTCGGTAGAAAAGTCAGCCCATTTTTTACTCCTATGTACAATACAAATATTGCTTTAATCAATTACTTTGAAAAACAATGAATGAGATTAATTTCTAAAGAAATAAACAACAAACTTTGCAGGCCTTGCCCCTGTCTGGTGCACAGTTTACAAACTAACCACTCCAGTCTGGGTTATAACAATCAAAGATGTGTTTTTCCTCATTAATAATAAAAAACAATAATTACCTGTAGAATATAAGGAACATGAGCTTCGTGTGGTTGAAATGACTTGTTCAATATAGCTCCATTCTGAAGAAGATCAACAAGTCTGAAAAAATGAAAAATTTTGATGTCGTTTTATGTTAGAACAACATGAAAAATATATCTTACTTGGGAATTATTCTTGGATTGTACAACTCCATCTTAATAAACTCTTCTTCGTTCTCATGATAACCATAAAATGGTCTAAAAATAAAATCATTTTGGGTGAATAATATTGAAACGTTATTGGGTCGAAAATGGAAGATTTTGTATTGTGATGTAAAGAAGAGAGTAAAAAAGATTTAATAATAGTAAGCTTTGTCAACATGAGGAGAAAACAAGGAAAATAACTTACATTTTTTTAACAATTTCAGTTTTATGAACATATTTCATAGAAGATGATGTTCTACCAAACGCAACTTGAACAGCAAAGTCTACACTTGTCGTAAATTGTTTCAGATATTTATCTGTGGGTTTAGTTCCATCGTAAGGTATGTATAAGTAAGGAAATACTTGATGAATATGAACACAAGTTTTCTGTCCACCAGGAGTTGAGCCAAATATCCTCAAAACTGGAACACGGTTAACATTCGCCTCAAAATTTAGAAAACAAAATATCTAAGCCATCTATAGGTTTTCCCACGTAAAATCTGCATCTACAATCCTAACAGAAAACATTCTGTTGTTCCAAGTAAGAAAATATATCGTCAATTAAAATTTTTGAAAGACGAAAGACGAGAGTTGAATCCGCCATATTTGTTTTAGATTATAGATTAGCCAATCAAAGATTTTATAATCAAACCCTTATACCAAGTCATCGTAATCACCTTTTGGGATTAGATGGGATTTAGAAATTTTCCAAGGGTGAGCATGACTTTATAGACCTCGCTAGAAAGGCTCACGCGTTTGGCGTTAGAAAATATGCTCCCAGAAGTTCATGTCCTTCTTCATGTCTAACTACGACACTGCATGTAAAGGATTTCCGCTTTCGTCGAGCAAAATAGTGTCCGCATCCTGATGTTTTTGGTCCTGTACAGCCATGTCAATACTGAAAATTAATAATAGTTAAATGTGTACAACATTTATGAGTTGATTGAGTTGAACTGAAATTGAATTTGCAATAAAATTTCTAAATCAATCCCTGTCGTGTGTATTTCAATTATAGCTAAAATATAAAATTTGCTCATCTCATTTTATCGTCTCGCTGTTATGAACAGAATTCAATATTTTACAATAAAAACAGCAGGTGATTAAAATTGAACATTTATTGAACATTCCAATTTCTTTATTATCAAGCAGAAGCAAAGACATCATGTAGATGATTGCGTCTTCTTTAATCTTTCTAAATTTGTTAAGGTATGTTGATTATAAAGTTCACCTTTACGAGTGTCATTGTTTGTTCTTATGTCTAGAATTTTGTTATATTTGTCATAAAAAACCTGAATGTCATTTTCGTGGTGAAATTCGCGCTTCATATGTTTTATATTGATACATCTGTTGATTTTGGTGGGATTTTCCCAATAACACATTGGATAATTTATCATTTCAAAATACTGATCTTTCTTGCATTATCACCAACAATTAATTTCGCTAGTCTTTTAAAATATCATTGGTACGGCAGGGCTAAAAAATTAACAAAATCAATCAAAATTATGACACGTCACAGAATTTAAGTTATGCATATCATTATGTGCAATATTTTTAATTTTATCTAACATGACATTTATCAAGAAGAATTTTTTCCTCATTCATACAGTCATCTATCTATTTATCTTATGCTAACACAGATGATGACATTATAACGTTTTGCTAGGTATGTCTTTAGAAATTGCGCCTACTTAGAGTGAAAGCTCACTTCTTCACGTGATAGTACACGTGATTTCTTTTTGGTCTATAATTGTTCAACTTGTTGTAAGATAGACTATTTAAAATATTTGTTTGCGTCCAAAGTTGACAAAATGACAATACTTTGCATGATGAACTGTCAAGTCCAAACGCCATCAATTTTGAAGTATCTCTGATTACTGAGATTTTGGCAAAATTATTCTAAATTAGAGACTTCGAGATTAATTACTCTGAAATTCCTTCTTAAATAAAGATTGCCCTAAAATCTTAAGCCCCCAATTTTACTTGCTTCTCACGCCCTGATCAAATTATTTGTTTATCCGTATCAAAAAATTACAAAATGACAAAAATTCATTGACAACGTTTCAAAGTTGGAACGCTGAGAATTTTAGAGAAGCTCTGTTTATCGATTTTCTTAACTTCCTAAAATATAAATCTTTAATTTTGAGCTATCTTACTTTTAAAAGGCTGGCTGCTGCCTGTCTTCCTTTATGATTATTTCAGTTAGTTTGCATGTAAGTCCGGATGTTCAATAATTGAAATAAATAATAGTAAACTGTGAAAGGTTTATTGGCATAAAGCTTCCAAGTCAAAACTTTTTGTGTTTACTTCAGTCATAGCTAAAATAAAAATTTGCATTTCATATTTTATTGGGTATGACCAGAATTCAATATTTTACAATAAAAACAGCAGGTGATTAAAATTGAACATTTATTGAACATTCCAATTTCTTTATTATCAAGCAGAAGCAAGGGCATCACGTAGCTGGTTGCGTCTTCTTTAATCTTTCTGAATTTGTTAAGGTATGTTGGATTATAAAGTCCACCTATCAGAGTGTATTGTTTATTCTTATGTCTAGAATTTTGTTATATTTGTCATAAAAACCTGAATGTCATTTTCGTGGTGGAATTCACGCTTCATATGTTTTATATTGATACATCTGTTGATTTTGTGGGATTTTCCCAATAACACATTGGATAATTTATCATTTCAAAATACTGACCTTTCTTGCATTATCACCAACAATTAATTTCGCTTGTCTTTTCAAATATCATTGGTACGGCAGGGCTAAAAATCAACAAAATGAATCAAAATCATGACACGTCACAGAATTTCAGTTATGCATATCATAAATGCGGAATGATTTTAACTTTATCTAACATGGCTTTTATCAAGAAGAATTTTTCCTTTTTATACAGTCATCTATCCTTATCTTATTCGTACCACAGATGATGACATAAAACGTTTTGCTAGGTATGTCTTTAAAATTGCGCCTAATTGGAGTGAAAAGATCACTTCTTCACGTGATAGTACACGTGATTTTTTCTGGTCTATATTTGTTCAACTTATTGTAAGATAGACTATTTAAAATATTGGTTTGTGTCAAAAGTTCGCAAAATGACAATACTTTGCATGATGAACTGTCAAGTCCAAACGCTATCAGTTTTGTAGTATCTATGATTACTGAGATGTGACAAAATTATTCTAAATTAGAGACTTCGAGATTAATTACCTTCATATTCCCTTCTTAAATAACGATTGCCCCTGAAATCTTAAGCTCCTCTCCCCAACTTTTACTTGCTTCTTACGCCCCTGATCAGATTATTTGTTTATCCGTATCCAAAGTTTACAAAATGACTAAACTTCATTGACAACGCTTCAAAGTTGGAACGCTGAGAATTTTAGAGAAGCTCTGTTTATCGATTTTCTTAACTTCCTAAAATATTAATCTTTAATTTTTGAGCTATCTTACTTTTAAAAGGCTGGCTGGCTGCCTGTCTTCCTTTATGACTATTTCAGTTAGTTTGCATGTAAGTCCGGATGTTCAATAATTGAAATAAATAATAGTAAACTGTGAAAGGTTTATTGGAATAAAGCTTCGAAGTCAAAACTTTTTTGTTTTTACTTCAGTCATAGCTAAAATAAAAATATGCACTTCATATTTTATTGGGTATGAACAGAATTCAATATTTTGCAATAAAAACAGCAGGTGATTAAAATTGAACATTTATTGAACATTCCGATTTCTTTATTATCAAGCAGAGCAAGGGCATCACGTAGCTGGTTGCGTCTTCTTTAATCTTTCTGAATTTGTTAAGGTATGTTGATTATAAAGTCCACCTATCAGAGTGTACTTGTTTATTCTTATGTCTAGAATTATGTTATATTTGCCATAAAAAACCTGAACGTCATTTTCGTGGTGGAATTCACGCTTCATAAGTTTTATATTGATACGTCTGTTGATTTTGGTGGGATTTACCCAATAACACATTAGATAATTTATCATTTCAAAATACTGACCTTTCTTGCATTATCACCAACAATTAATTTCGCTTGTTATTTCAAATATCATTAGTACGGCAGGGTTAAAAAATCAACAAAATAAATGAAAATCATGACACGTCACAGAATTTCAGTAATGCATATCATAAATGCGGAATGATTTAACTTTATCAAACATTGCTTTTATCAAGAAGAATTTTTTCCTTTTTTCAACAGTCATCTATCACTTATCTTATTCGTACCACAGATGACGACATAAAAACGTTTTGCTAGGTATGTCTTTAAAAATTGCGCCTAATTGGAGTGAAAAGATCACTTCTTCACGTGATAGTATACGTGATTTTTTTCTGGTCTATATTTGTTCAACTTGTTGTAAGATAGACTATTTAAAATATTTGTTTGTGTCAAAAGTTCCCAAAATGACAATACTTTGCATGATGAACTGTCAAGTCCAAAAGCTATCAGTTTTGTAGTATCTATGATTACTGAGAGGTGACAAAATTATTCTAAATAAGAGACTTCGAGATTAATTACTCTCATATTCCCTTCTTAAATAACGATTGCCCCTGAAATCTTAAGCTCCTCCCCCCAATTTTACTTGCTTCATACGCCCTGATCAGATTATTTGTTTATCCGTATCCAAAGTTTACAAAATGACAAAACTTCATTGACAACGTTTCAAAGTTGGAACGCTGAGAATTTTAGAGAAGCTCTGTTTATCGATTTTCTTAACTTCCTAAAATATAAATCTTTAATTTTTGAGCTATCTTACTTTTAAAAGGCTGGCTGTCCGTCTTCCTTTATGATTATTTCAGTTAGTTTGCATTTAAGTCAGGATGTTCAGTAATTGAAACAAATTATAGTAAACTGTGAAACGTTTATTGGCATAAAGCTTCCAAGTCAAAACTTTTTGTGTTTAATTCAGTCATAGCGAAAATAAAAAAATTTCATTTCATATTCCATTACTTAAGCCTTTTCTTTCATGCTCCATCTCTTTAATATAACCTAATTCAGTATACGTCTTTTTAGCTTTTTATTAATTGCCTATGCAAACGACCCCATGGCGTTAAGCTCGAATGCCCGACAACTTCGGAGAGTCCTTTGCCTCCTCTCCAATAAGCCTATGTCAACCCAATATATTTGTAGGAAACAAACACCTGGTACTGTTTTGTTGTTGAAATGTGTTGAGTTCGAGTTACTCGCCATATCTCTTTTTGTAGCATACTTTATACCTTCAGTAACAACCACGAGTGAACTTAATGATCGAACTGATTTTTATTATTTTACAGAGCAGTATTTATAATCTTTATTACAAATAACAAATATTAATATTGCTCGGAATAATTCCACTATTTAAGCTATATATGGTACATAAGGAAATTTAACTAACGTCAATAACTGTTCCTTGGCTGTAAGCCGTGTGGGAACGGATACATTTTTAAACCAAACTACGCACATGCTTTTTCCTTAACATGTTTTTATGGTTTATGAGCATGACTCAACACCCCCACTTGCTCATTAACTAAATTAACAAATTAATACCTATTTACCAGTTTTCAATGTTTTGAATCTACTTAATTTAATCTTACTTACAGCTTTCGTAAATATATCAATCACATTTTCATGTGTTGCTACATACATAATTTCTATTTTACCAGCCCTTATTTCATTTGTGATAAAGTGATATCTAATATCTATGTGTTTCGACCTTTTGTAGTACATAGGGCTCTTTGCTAAGTTAAATGCACCCTGAATGTCAACATTCAACAAAACACACTTGCCTTCCTTACAAATACGCAAATCAACACACAACTGTTTCAAAAATTTTGCTTCCTGAATAGCTTCAGTCAATGCCATATACTCAGCCTCACAAGTTGACAAAGCAACTGTAGATTGCTTCTTACTCCTCCAAGAAACCAAACCACCGTTCTCACTCAACCTGAAACCGTAACCTGAAATACTATGCCTGTCATCCGCATCGCCAGCCCAATCAGAATCAGAAAAACCAACCGATTTTAAAACACTTTCACATTTTCTAAATGTAATTGTCTGATCTATTGTATCCTTTAAGTATCTAAGAACATGCTTTGAGTCTATTAGGTTTGCTTGTGTCAGTTTTGCCATCTTTTGAAACAGCTTTGTTACAATAAAGCACAGATCAGGTCTAGTTCCTGTCATAAAATATGTAAGACTACCGACAATTTGTCTGTAAAGACTTGGATCTTCTAACTGAGGCGATTGATCATGCGACATTTTATTTGTATCGGAAAATGATAGAGTGGGTTTGGGTTTACACTCTGACATGCCAAATTTTGTTAGTAACTTAATAATATATTGCCTTTGACTCATTGTTATTAAAATTTTCTAAGCATTTGAATTCAGTCCCTAAAAACCAGGACAATATTCCTAAATCTTTCATCTTGAAACGGTCGCTTAAGATTTTCTTGACACTCTGCATTAATGTGTCATTGTTAGCAACAATGAGTTTTTTGAATTTTGTGAATAACCATAACAAACACAACCAAAAACGTGCATTTTGCTCAAGTCTGGTTTTGAGTCTGTAAACGCTTCGAACGGAGTTTTGTTTAACCTCGAATTAAAACAACGATTCCTAATTTAAGCAGATGCCATGACAGCATCTAGCAATAGACACCTAGCCATGTTAAATGAAGTTAACCACGATCTCTCAACTGTGCCGTTCTGGTGTGGCGAATATGGTGCACTAGTTTCATGCCTAAGTTTGTTTTCTCTAAGAATCGATTTGAATTTCTCGCTTGTAAATTCAGTGCCGTTATCACTTCTTATGCGCTTCACATTTCCGTAAGGTGCAACATCTGCTAAAAACTGTTTTAATGCTTGTGGTGTATCGCTTTTATGCTTAAGAAAATAGACCATAGTCAAAATGAAGACTCTGAAGATGACTACCGCTAAGGATGTCGAAACGTCAGTCAACAACAACAAAAACGGTGTTTCTCAGGACTATACCAACCTGGACGTTCAACATTTACAAACATGTAACGATACTCCCGGGCTTAAACCATTTACTGTATATAACATACTATAAAAATGACTACACTTTAACTCTTTGTACCAACACTTTTTGTACGACTTATTTTTACGATAATGATATTTGCTTTCTTGCATTCTCTTTGACTCGAAGCTCTTCTATAATCTTGTTTCGAGACCTTTAAAGGTCATGACGGCATATGTCCACATGGATTTTGGTAGTTCTGCTTCTAGCAATAGACACCTAGCCATGTTAAATAAAGTTAACCACGATCTATCAACTGTGCCGTTCTGGTGTGGCGAATATGGTGCACTAGTTTCATGCCTAATTTTGTTTTCTCTAAGAATCGATTTAAATTTCTCGCTTGTAAATTCAGTGCCGTTATCACTTCTTATGTTATGGAGAATAACCATAACAAACACAACCAAAATCGTGCGTTTTGCTCAAGTCTGGTTTTGAGTAGCAGTACCCTCAATTCCTTTTTTTTTTAACTGGCATCTGCTAATTCAATAACATGCGCTTTACTATCAAATTTACCATTAAAATCTATAAATTTTGACTTATCGTTAGTAATGTGGCTTGTAGCTCCTGTGTCCACAAGTAGAGATAAATTCCCTTGATCCTTATCCTTCACGTCTGCTTCAGCGTTCTCTTCTTCATCCTTTGACACGAATAAAAAGGAGTGTTGCCGTTCACTGTCACAGCGCTGCCGTCTTTAGATGACTTGAACATTTCTTCTTCTTTTGGCAATCTTTCGCGTCGTGGGTCTTGATCTTGCATATGGAGCACCATTTGTTCCCCTTCACTGGGCATTGTGAGATTTTGTGTCCCTTTCTTCCACATTTGAAACAATTTCCGTCAAATTTTGGTTTCACATACATAACGTTGTCACCTACCTCAGTTTTTGGTGACAATGGTTTGATATTTTCTTCATAACTTCGTAACGAGTTCTTAAATTCCGTAAATGTCATTTGTCTTTCCCTTTGAACTGTTACGGTAGCAAAGACGTCGTACGTGCTTGGCAGACCCTTTAAAACCATTGCAATGAGTAGTGCATCACTTATTATCTCCTCGGCTTCTCTTAAGACTGTTGCCGATCGTTCCCCTCGCAATATATAACCAATATTGGAATATTATAATATAAAGACTGTTCATTAAAATCAATAATCAATCTACGTAACGTGATAACACGAAGAATGTACAAATCCGCCAAGGTTAAACTGGGAAGTTAAAAAATTGAAGCCATTCATGTTGTGATAAATATTTCAAAAATTTCCAGTGCAGAAGCAATTTTTAGCGCCATTTCGCTAGTGACTGACGTGGTACAAATTTTTTGCCCTCCACTCGCGAAATCCTGGCGACGCCACTACCAAAATGTAGCCAAATGCCTAAATACAGGGAAACTAAAATGTCCAATTGCGTTGTTTTCAGCTGCCACCCTCGATATTCATTTACACGTACAAGTAAAACTGTAACATTACGTAGCTATGTTTGATCTTCAACAATTTTAGTTCTCTATAAACTCTACTTAAAGAACCAATTTATGTTGATATTAATAATTTTATGACCCTTAGATGCAGTCAAGAGAAGAAATTAATAACTTCTACCTGCAGAAAATAGTTACAGATATTGAAAAGAAACTTGTTGATCTTTTTATCCAAGAATGGAACACTCATTACAAAAAATCTCTGGGAGAATGGGAAAATACAAACGTTAGTGGTCAGAAATTGTTCAATATTGAAGTTTCAAAAAAGAGACCTCCTGAAAAACATATTCTGTCAAATTTTCAAGATGGTGACACTAGTAAGTGGGATTGTACGGCGCTATTTGCAGCGATATTATATTCCAAATCAATTGGAACAAAAATTGGTCCAAAAGTTAGAGATGCTGTGAATGAACTTCGTGAAGTAAGAAACACATTCATCCATAAATATAAAGGAAAAGTTTCTGATGACAAATTTCATACAATGGTTTGTACTATTGAAAACTCGTTTCAAGATCTAGGATTTTTATTTAATGAACTTAAAGAAATAAAAAGTGAACGAAACAAATTTAATTCTTTTCGAGTACTTCCTTCCAAACCAAATCACGATGTGGTTAAACGTACAGAGTTACTTAATCAAATCACAGCAGATCTCAATAACTTGCGCAGTACTAACAATAATGAACTAACATATTACTATATTTCTGGTAATCCTGGCAGTGGTAAATCTCAATTAGCTAGACAAATTTGCGAAGAAATGTATAACTCGTTTGACTGGGAAAAGAACACGACATTTGTGATGACACTAGAAGGAAAAGATATCGACTCTCTTTGAAAACTTATGCTGAACTTTGTAAACGATTAAACAATGATAAAACTGTCATTGAAAATATCTCAAAAGAAGCAAAAGCAGCGAAGAAAAATTAAAGATTTTCAATTATTGCTGACACAACAACTGAAATTTTGGCAAACATGGTGGATTGTTGTAGATAACGTGGTTGAACTTCATAAAATTTATCCATTATTACCTGAAGTTGGTGATCATAGTTGGAAAAATGGACAAATTATAGTAACTGTCCAAAATACAGATGCTATACCACCAGATGGAAATCTAAATAAACACATTTCAGTTAGTCATGGTATGAACAATGAAGAATGTCGAGAGCTTTTATCTGTCTTTTCTGATATTCATAATGAAGATGAAAAATTTTTAAAGCATGTATCAGACAAATTAGATCGTCAACCGTTGTTCCTGGCAAATTCTGCTTCCTACGTAGGTAGAGTAAAAAGTGTAAATCCGACATTCACGTGGGAGAAATATTTTGATAAGTTAAATGAAGGAGAGCGACAGAAAATGGATGGCAACTTTCAAAAAATAAACCCATCTTACTTAGGAATGAAAACTGTTATGTTAGCAGTACAAAAAAATGCCGAAGAATCTATCTTGTTGGAACATGTTTTTAAACTTTTCTCAATAATATCATCCGATCCCTTACCACAAGATGTTATAATAAAATTTGTTGAAAGCATTGATCCACAAATATCTGCAGAAGATGTCTGTCTTCAATTAAAGCATTGTTCTTTATTCCTTCAAACGGAAAACAATGACATCCGCCTGCACAGCGTTGTACACGAAACCATCATAAATTATTCATCGCAGACCTTTGGATGTAAACAAAACAAAACTAATTCTAAAAAGTCTGCAGCTGATCTTGCCTGTCAAGTTGCTTGGGCACTAAATTATTTCAAAGACAGAGAAGATGAAATCAAAATAATTCCTCATCTAATCAAATTCATAAAAAATTCATCATTTCAACATTTCCTAAATAAGTTGATCGATAAAAAAACATTCCTTTTTTTCATTAGAAAACAAAATCTTGATGAAAGAAATTGGAAATTGGCCAAATATTTTGTAGATGTTTTGGAAAGATTTTACAACTATAAACTTGCAACTAAAGTACTTTATGAAATAGCAGAAATTCAAACTAAAGTGTTAGGTGTTGATCATATTGATGTTTCATATTCGTACAACGAGCTGGGTTTATTGCTTTGGAAGAATGGAGAATATGAAAATGCTAAAGATTTTTCTGAACGAGCCATGGAAATTCAAACGAAAGAATTTGGACCTGACCATGTTAATATTGCGACAACGTACAATAATCTGGGTTCGGCTTACGAAGAAATGGGAGAGTACGAAAAAGCAAAAGATTTTTATGAACGAGCGATAGAAATTAAAACAAAAACATTTGGACCTGACCATGTTAATATTGCGACAACGTACAACAATCTGGGTTCGGTTTACATTAAAATGGGAGAGTACGAAAAAGCAAAAGATTTTTATGAACGAGCGATAGAAATTCAAACAAAAGCATTTGGACCTGACTATGTTAAAATTGCGATAACATACAGCAATCTGGGTTCGGTTTACATTAAAATGGGAGAGTACGAAAAAGCAAAAAATTTTTATGAACGAGCGATAGAAATTAAAACGAAAACATTTGGACCTGACCATGTTAAGACTGCGAACACGTACAACAATCTGGGCTTGGTTTACAGAGATATGGGAGAGTACGAAACAGCAAAAGATTTTTATGAACGAGCTATGAAAATTCAAACGAAAGCATTTGGACCTGACCATGTTAATATTGCGACAACGTACAACAATCTGGGTTCAGTTTACAAAGATATGGGAGAGTACGAAAAAGCAAAAGAGTTTTATGAACGAGGGATAGAAATTGAAACAAAAGCATTTGGACCTGACCATGTTAATATTGCGACAAGGTACAACAATCTTGGTTCTGTTTACAAAGATATGGGAGAGTACGAAAAAGCAAAAGATTTTTATGAACGAGCGATAGAAATTGAAACGAAAACATTTGGACCTGACCATGTTAATATTGCGACAAGGTACAACAATCTTGGTTCTGTTTACAAAGATATGGGAGAGTACGAAAAAGCAAAAGGTTTTTATGAACGAGCGATAGAAATTGCAACGAAAACATTTGGACCTGACCATGTTAATATTGCGAAAATGTACAGAAATCTTGGTTCTCTTTACAATCATATGGAAGAGTACGAAAAAGCAAAATATTTTTATGAACGAATGATAGAAATTGAAACGAAAACATTTGGACCTGACCATGTTAATATTGCGACAACGTACAACAATCTGGGTTCGGTTTACGATAATATGGGAGAGTACGAAAAAGCAAAAGTTTTTTATGAACGAGCGATAGAATTTCAAACAAAAGCATTTGGACCTGACCATGTTAATATTGCGACAATGTACAACAATCTGGGTTCGGTTTACGATAATATGGGAGAGTACGAAAAAGCAAAAGTTTTTTATGAACGAGCGATAGAAATTGAAACGAAAACATTTGGACCTCACCATGTTAAGATTGCGACAAGGTACAACAATTTGGGTTCGGTTTACAGTAAAATGGGAGAGTACGAAAAAGCAAAAGATTTTATTGAACGAGCGATAGAAATTCAAACGAAAACATTTGGACCAGACCATGTTAATATTGCGATAATGTACAATAATCTTCATTTGGTTATAAAGAAACTATAGATATTGAAACTGAAGCATTTGGACTTCTATTTATCTTTTATTTGCTAGAAGATAAAATACTCCTGTCTTTGAGAAAACGTACAAGGATATAGAAGAAGAGGAAATGAATTTGTAGCTCATTTTCAATGAAGAAGAAAATCAATTTCTCTTTTCATTTTAGGTATGTCTTGTTTATACTAAAGATGATTAGAAACAGTTGTATTGTAGACTTCTTTTAACAAAGGTTCAAATAACAACAGTTGTATATTTATAAAAGGTATAAATATATATTATTGACAATATTCAAACATTTGTATTTTCAATTTTTTAACTGTCATTTATTTACTGGAACAGTTTTTATTAAGAAAATTGTATGGAACTATCAAAGTATGTTTATGAGTTCAGTTTGCAATATCTAGCTATTAAGAAGTTGTGAAGTTCCTTAAAATAAATGTTGTTGGGTCATTTTCCTGTATAATGAGAGTAAATACTGATCTTACAGCAACCATGATCATGTGACATCTCTTTTTGAAATGCTGAAAAGCCCACAAGATTTGCTTTGCTATATAAGTATGAATACAGTCTTTTCTATATTTATTTCTACTCATTCATATAATTTACAAAATGTACTTTCAATTAATGAGAATTGTAGTTGTTTGAAATGGACATGCAGTTATTGTTATTTGATTCAATCATACTTGATTTGGGGACTAACACCTTAATTGTCATGACTATGCCTGTTTTTTTTTACTTTGGAGGAAAAATTTATTTAATGATTGATTCAATAATACTTTATTATAGTTCAAACTATAAAGGCAATGTAAAGTAAAAGTTAAAAATAACCTGAAGACGAAAAAGCAGGATATCATTGCCATAGTATTGACAGAAGTAAAAATGACACATTTAACTGTCCGACTGCCAGAATTTAGACCACCAGATTTACTAATATATAAAAAATCCCAATAGTAGCGCAGGATACTTGTTAATTGGGGGGGGGGGCACAAATTCATATATGCATGTCTTAATCTGTTAAAAACAATGGATTTCAAAGGAACTTAATGTGGCAGAACATGAATATATGAATATGTGCCTCCTACCCAAAATAAAGAGTCTGCTATGTCATTTATTCCCTGGGCATCTTGAAGAGCTCTGGCATTGTGTGTAACAGTTAGTAGTTCATTTTGCAAGAAACTTCTTATTAGTTTTTTCCAAAACATAATTTGAACATTAGAGAAATTGTGTACAAACTATAAAAAGTTTATATTAGGAATATATTTCTAGAGCAACACCCTCCTTTAAAGTATGTATCCATATTCGGGAGTGAATGACATGACCAGACATTTTGGCTAATGTCTTTACAACTGATAAGAACAGTAAATGAGTCATTTCTACTGGTGTCTTTACTACCGATATGGAGTGTAATGAGTCATTTTCATTGCTATGACATTCATGTCTTGCTTTTGCTATAGTTTATACTTTACATTGCTTTGAAACTGATTCTCCCAGCTACCTAAATGATTTTACCACAAAATCACAATACAAAATGTTGTGGTTATATCTGATCCCAAGAAAATCAAATATAAATTAAAAATGAGATTTACTACATTTAAATGTAAGCGAAAAAAGAACATTGATTAAGATTTTTCTTATTAAACAACAAAAAGAACCAAACAAACACTCCATTTAAACTTTTGCCTACAGAAATTGAAAATACAACTGTTACTGGTCAGCTAAAGGAGAAAGAAAACATACTCAAGAGCCAGGGCTAAGAAAGCATTTTGTTCCTTGAAATGGAGCCACAAATCCATTCCTTTCTGTAAAGACTAAACACAATAAAAATCCTTTGCTGACAAACGTTTTGATAGATCTGGCATTGGTGACCACCTGACAATGTAATTTATCTTTATGTAGGTTTTAGGTAGCGATGTAGCCAAGAAAAATGGAGCTTTTACTCTAATTATGTGTGTCTGGCCCATATTTACTGTTGTCATCTCATATGTAGTGTAGTGAGTAACGAAAAAGTAATTGAACAATAAAATATTAATTTTCATAGCACTGGTAGACTTGCTATACGCTACGAGTTGTCATGGTGTTATTAAAGGACTGAATTCTGATATTTAACTTTGATTCTTATTTTATTATTTTCCGTAAATTATACACGTATTTAATAAAATATACATTTAAAAAATGTAAATAAATAATTTATATTATACAAATATAAATTTACGTGCGTTTTTCAGCACCGGCGGCAATAGCTTCTTCTTTTTCATGCTCTAAGTCCCTATTTCTCTTTTTCATTTCTTTGAGTAGCGAAACTGCATTGGCAGCCCGTTTCTTACGCATCAGAGCGTCGAACTCATCTTGAATAACGCGTTTACGCTCGTTAAAACGCCGCATTTGATCTATAACCTGTTCAAACCATTGAGTTCTATAAGACCTGGAGGGGAAACGTCAAAAACATGGCGGATTTTGGTGGTCAAAGTCAGCGGAGAGACGCGGGCTCATGAAATAAAATTTTTGTCGCCCATCCTGATTTGACCACCACGATTGCGAGTATAGAAAATATTATAGAAAAACTATTTATTTTCCTAACATAAACACTTTTTTAAAATTTCATTTATTAAACAATCTGCAAACTTCCGTGGTTTGCGGTTGCTGAAATAGCGACATAGAAGGAAACATTTCATGACTCCGGTAAGTAGCACAGTAGTAGTTTTACTATTTTTTTTTTAACACGATACTTGAAGAGTGTTTCTACTACTAAGTTTTAATTTAAAGTTATTTTTGTCCAGTCTTGTTTGTTCTTCCCTTTATCGCTCCCCAGACGAGGCGAAGCAGCCAATTTTTATGGAGTTTGCATCCATCTTGTCTCATGATCAAGCTAAACTCTCCTGATTTGAATTGAGTTTACCTCCCAAAAATGGGGAAGAATTTGTTCATATTTTTTTTAAAAGACGAAGGGAAAGTTTACAACAGAGTTGTGTTGAAATTGAATGCAGTGCCATGCAAAGTTATTGAGAACTATGGTATATGCTGTATAATAAAAATAACTATTAAACAACTTGCTTGCTCAATTTGACTGACTGTATGGTGTAGACAATTATAATGAGATTGGAAAGTTGGATTTATGCAAACAATTTTAAAGTACTACTTAGCGTTTCTGTAAATGAAGTATTTATTGTTATAGTAAACAGTTTAATACTTCAAAACAAAGATAAAAGAAGTGTGTTGAACAATGTGCCAAGATTTACTCCTACCTTGAAATTTTTGTTCAACAATAGCTTATGATTATATCATAAATATGCATGAAAAATTAAACATATTATTGTCTCATCTCATCAAATCCATACTTGGTATGATTCCAGGTGATCCACAAATTCACATCAGATGCATTGGTTACAATGAAGTTGAATGTAGAGGAAGCAAAAATAGATGGCAAAGAAATTCTTTGTGTCTTATGAAGAATTAGTACAAATCAATTAGTACAAAAAGAATTCTTTAAACAAATTGTAAACAAATTTAAATTGCTCATGGTCAAGCAACCTGTCAAAGAAGCAAAGTCTGTCTCCAACATGTGACCTCTTCAATTATGTTTAGTTTCTTACTACAAAATACTATTTTTGAGAAACTTGATTTGTAAGTCTTTCATTAATATTTTTTTACCAAGAGATAAAAGGAACTAATTCAAAGGCTTGATGTAAAATACAAAGATTTAACAAGTTGTTTATCATTTAATTCCCAAATGTTAGTTTGTACATATAAATAATTAGAATTGGTAGCTGTAAGTTGTTTAAGCAAAACAGAAGAGTAGTAGTGCTCGAAGGGGTTAGCATTTTTGAAAAATTATATCTTGTTCTTGACATATATTACACAATTCGAAAAAACTGTAAGTGATGCACAATAATATCTATAGAACTTGATAAATTTCTTCACCTACACTGTCAAATAACTATTTTGCCTTCATGCAGCAATCGACAGTGTTTTTGTCAGAGAAACCAATGCTCATTAGTTTCCAAGTTTGTAATTTCAATGGAAAATTAATGTAGTTCTGTTCAGTAATAGATCCAAGATTCTGCCAAGCTGTTTACAAAATACAAATTACCAAGCAACAGTGTCATGGTGTTTTGAATTTTTTTCTTTTTTGTAGCTCTTCTAGTTCAACATACTTTCTTTATGAGTTTTCAGTAGATTTATCAGGTAATGGCAATACACTTATGATACTTAACCATGGTAAATTTTTAGTTGACTTATGTCGTAAGACTGAAGCAAACATTTTCTCGCTTCCTTAGGAGCATTTTTACACAGATTTATCCATTTTAAGCAAGAAAAATAGGTGCACCAAACTGTTGACAAACAGTCAAACACACAAAAGCATGAAATAATGTATAAGTTTGACGAGATTGACAGGTCTAGTAAAGAATGCCGTTTGATTTCACTTTTAAAAGGCTAAAATGTCATAAATTGATAAAATAACTTAAATGTTACATCCAAAATATGCGTTCCTCTACCTTCGATCTTCTTTATTTTGATGTGTGTCTGTACTGTGTTTTTCACGCAATGCTGAAGCATTATTTTTACATGATATGCCGTCGCTATCGTAATTATTTTTGCTCACTTGTTTTCGTTCATACAAACAGTATTAGAAATCAGGAGGGAGTGAATATTGAAAAAAATTTTTAAAGTGGAAGTATTGACCACCATAATCCGCCATTATCGCCATGTTTTTGACCACGAGGCCCAGGCCCCTTTGCCCCTCCAGGTCTTATAGAGCTCAATGGTGTATGCATGAGAGAAAGTTATTGACAAAGGAAACAGGTAACAAAGCAACTATTCACCCCGTGTGTGCGTGCATGAGGGAAAGTTATTGACAAAGGAAACATGTAACAAAGCAACTATTCACCACGTGTGTGTATGCATGAGAGAAAGTTATTGACAAAGGAAACAGGTAACAAAGCAACTATTCACCCCGTGTGTGCGTACATGAGGAAAGTTATTGACAAAGGAAACAGGTAACAAAGCAACTATTCACCACGTGTGTGCGTGCATGAGGAAAGTTATTGACAAAGGAAACAGGTAACAAAGCAACTATTCACCACGTGTGTGCGTACATGAGGAAAGTTATTGACAAAGGAAACAGGTAACAAAGCAACTATTCACCCCGTGTGTGCGTACATGAGGAAAGTTATTGACAAAGGAAACAGGTAACAAAGCAACTATTCACCAGGTGTGTGCATGCATGAGGGAAAGTTATTGACAAAGGAAACAGGTAACAAAGCAACTATTCACCACGTGTGTGTATGCATGAGATAAAGTTATTGACAAAGGAAACAGATAACAAAGCAACTATTCACCTCGTGTGTGCGTGCATGAGGGAATTTTATTGACAAAGGAAACAGGTAACAAAGCAACTATTCACCTCGTGTGTGCATGCATGAGGAAAGTTATTGACAAAGGAAACAGGTAACAAAGCAACTATTCACCACGTGTGTGCGTGCATGAGGGAATTTTATTGACAAAGGAAACAGGTAACAAAGCAACTATTCACCCCATGTGTGCGTACATGAAGGAAAGTTATTGACAAAGGAAACAGGTAACAAAGCAACTATTCACCCCGTGTGTGCGTGAATGAGGGAAAGTTATTGACAAAGGAAACAGGTAACAAAGCAACTATTCACCACGTGTGTGCGTGCATGAGGGAATTTTATTGACAAAGGAAACAGGTAACAAAGCAACTATTCACCACGTGTGTGCGTGCATGAGGGAATTTTATTGACAAAGGAAACAGATAACAAAGCAACTATTCACCTCGTGTGTGCGTACATGAGGGAAATTTATTGACAAAGGAAACAGGTAACAAAGCAACTATTCACCACGTGTGTGCGTGCATGAGGGAAAGTTATTGACAAAGGAAACAGGTAACAAAGCAACTATTCACCACGTGTGTGCATGAGGGAAAGTTATTAACAAAGGAAACAGGTAACAAAGCAACTATTCACCACGTGTGTGCGTGCATGAGGAAAGTTATTGACAAAGGAAACAGGTAACAAAGCAACTATTCACCACGTGTGTGCGTGCATGAGGGAAAGTTATTGACAAAGGAAACAGGTAACAAAGCAACTATTCACCACGTGTGTGCGTGCATGAGGGACTTTTATTGACAAAGGAAACAGGTAACAAAGCAACTATTCACCACGTGTGTGCGTGCATGAGGAAAGTTATTGACAAAGGAAACAGGTAACAAAGCAACTATTCACCACGTGTGCGTGCATGAGGAAAGTTATTGACAAAGGAAACAGGTAACAAAGCAACTATTCACCACGTGTGTGCGTGCATGAGGAAAGTTATTGACAAAGGAAACAGGTAACAAAGCAACTATTCACCAGGTGTGTGCGTGCATGAGGGAAAGTTATTGACAAAGGAAACAGGTAACAAAGCAACTATTCACCACGTGTGTGCGTGCACGAGGGAAAGTTATTGACAAAGGAAACAGGTAACAAAGCAACTATTCACCACGTGTGTGCGTGCATGAGGAAAGTTATTGACAAAGGAAACAGGTAACAAAGCAACTATTCACCACGTGTGTGCGTGCACGAGGGAAAGTTATTGACAAAGGAAACAGGTAACAAAGCAACTATTCACCACGTGTGTGCGTGCATGAGGGAAAGTTATTGACAAAGGAAACAGGTAACAAAGCAACTATTCACCACGTGTGTGCGTACATGAAGGAAAGTTATTGACAAAGGAAACAGTTAACAAGGCAACTATTCACCACGTGTGTGCGTACATGAGGGAAAGTTATTGACAAAGGAAACAGGTAACAAAACAACTATTCACCCCGTGTGTGGGTACATGAGGAAAGTTATTGACAAAGGAAACAGGTAACAAAGCAACTATTCACCCCGTGTGTGCGTACATGAGGGAAAGATATTGACAAAGGAAACAGGTAACAAAGCAACTATTCACCACGTGTGTGCGTACATGAAGGAAAGTTATTGACAAAGGAAACAGTTAACAAGGCAACTATTCACCCCGTGTGTGCGTACATGAGGGAAAGTTATTGACAAAGGAAACAGGTAACAAAGCAACTATTCACCCAGTGTGTGGGTACATGAGGGAAAGTTATTGACAAAGGAAACAGGTAACAAAGCAACTATTCACCCCGTGTGTGCGTACATGAGGGAAAGATATTGACAAAGGAAACAGATAACAAAGCAACTATTCACCACGTGTGTGCGTGCATGAGGGAAAGTTATTGACTAAGGAAACAGGTAACAAAGCAACTATTCACCACGTGTGTGCATGCATGAAGGAAAGTTATTGACAAAGGAAACAGGTAACAAAGCAACTATTCACCCGTGTGTGCATACATGAGGAAAGTTATTGACAAAGGAAACAGGTAACAAAGCAACTATTCACCCCGTGTGTGATGAGGAAAGTTATTGACAAAGGAAACAGGTAACAAAGCAACTATTCACCCCGTGTGTGCGTACATGAGGGAAAGTTATTGACAAAGGAAACAGGTAACAAAGCAACTATTCACCCAGTGTGTGGGTACATGAGGGAAAGTTATTGACAAAGGAAACAGGTAACAAAGCAACTATTCACCCCGTGTGTGCGTACATGAGGGAAAGATATTGACAAAGGAAACAGATAACAAAGCAACTATTCACCACGTGTGTGCGTGCATGAGGGAAAGTTATTGACAAAGGAAACAGGTAACAAAGCAACTATTCACCACGTGTGTGCGTGCATGAGGGAAAGTTATTGACTAAGGAAACAGGTAACAAAGCAACTATTCACCACGTGTGTGCATGCATGAAGGAAAGTTATTGACAAAGGAAACAGGTAACAAAGCAACTATTCACCCCGTGTGTGCATACATGAGGAAAGTTATTGACAAAGGAAACAGGTAACAAAGCAACTATTCACCCCGTGTGTGCATACATGAGGAAAGTTATTGACAAAGGAAACAGGTAACAAAGCAACTATTCACCCCGTGTGTGCGTACATGAGGGAAAGTTATTGACAAAGGAAACAGGTAACAAAGCAACTATTCACCACGTGTGTGCATGCATGAAGGAAAGTTATTGACAAAGGAAACAGGTAACAAAGCAACTATTCACCCCGTGTGTGCGTACATGAGGGAAAGTTATTGACAAAGGAAACAGGTAACAAAGCAACTATTCACCACGTGTGTGCATGCATGAAGGAAAGTTATTGACAAAGGAAACAGGTAACAAAGCAACTATTCACCACGTGTGTGCGTACATGAAGGAAAGTTATTGACAAAGGAAACAGTTAACAAAGCATCTATTCACCTCGTGTGTGCGTACATGAAGGAAAGTTATTGACAAAGGAAATAGGTAACAAAGCAACTATTCACCACGTGTGTGCATGCATGAAGGAAAGTTATTGACAAAGGAAACAGGTAACAAAGCAACTATTGTCAATTGAGTATTACCTGTAAGTGTTTCACCAACATGCATGCAACATCATACAATATGTTTATTTTGAGTGCAGGATTATCAACATTATCTTTCTCTAATTCTTGGAGAACATAAACTGCATAGCTCAATCTATAAAATATGTAGAATATTTTTTTAAATAATGCAACCACGTGTATGCAAAAAGCTTCAGCACTTGCACAAAGCATTGAAAGTAGCAAACCAACTGAAAAAAATAAATTTACACCATCAAATGCATGCATCCTAACCACCTCTTTCAAACCAAGAACATTTAGGTAAAAATAGAGAAAAATGTGTGTAACAGACCTCTCTCCATGTTTAAAAATTTAAGAATTTTTTAGGAAACTCATATCAACAGCCTCGCCCAAAGATTGCTGTTTCATCAAGAGCTCTGTAGCAATTCATTGATCGAACAGCATTCCCAGCAAGAAAACCATGACACTCCTATAAGTATCAATATGTAACAAACAAAAAAGTATACAAGAGCTTTATTTCCTAAAGCCCATGGCACAAATTTATTGAAAATAAAAACTATGTGGTAGAGAACGTAAAAAAATCAAATAAATTCAAAGCACTGTAACTTCCATACCTGAATTTTCATTAGAATAACAAAGTATATTAAAGCTACATTGACCTTGTTTGATGTAGGTTTGGTATAATTGGCAACAAATTGATCAACATGTGTTTGATCATAGAACATCAGCTGTCCAAATAGAGGTTTTCCAAGACTCCGCCCAAGTTTTTCCTTCATTCAATAAATAGAGCATCAAGAGACTCAAAGATCACACCATCAGTCTTCAATAAAATGGTGAAGGATAAAATCATGCAATGTATTTGAGTTCAATGATGCAAATGATGCAGTCAAAAAGGTGTTTAAGATAGCATTGCTAATGTTCTTTTTACTAAATTGTCATTGTTAAACAAGTAATACAAATATACTCACTTTGGAACAAGTAGGACAGATATTTCCTTCTTCAAGCTCAGGAATAACACAGCTCAACATGTTTAGTTTATGTCTGTAAATTCTGAAAAAAACAATGACACAAAGAAAGCAATTATGCACTCTTAAACAAATGACATAAACAAAACACAGTGCAAGACAGTAATTCTTGAGGAAAAATCCTTTCCCATCATAAACTTTAGCATTTTGATTTCCTCCAATTAAATACATCTCTTAATATGAGATTCTTAGGCTATAAAATTGACTGCAACTCTCCCAGCAATTCATACGTAGTACAGCAGTGCAATAAATCAGTGACCTAAATGCAGTTACCTATATTCTTCAAAAGCATCTATAATGACAGGATACATTTTTGGTGTTGCATAAGAAGAGAATATGTGGTTATGATTAAACTCTTCAAATGAATGACAAATGCTTTTTATTGATGCCTTGCATTCCATCTGCACAGAATGAATCAATTCAAAAAACTCAATTGCAAATGCAATTCTTGGTTTTGTAGGTGTTCCACCCCAAAGGCCAAATTGCAGAAGTCGAACAAACTCTGGAGAGCATGAGCAAAACTGTACCTCAACAGTACAAAAGGTGCCTAGAAATTGAAAAAGATTCAAAATTATAATTGTGTTGAGCCATCCCAGCTAAAATGAAAAAACTTTCGCAGCACATTTTAAATATAACATACCTTTAACATCAACAACAGAAACACTTCTTTTGTGACGAGCTGTTTGGCATGAACAATCATACACCAGCATGTTCATGAGTTTATATGGCCAAAACGTGCCATCCTACAAAGCAATGAATAACCTCGTGGAAATAAGTTGTAATCAATCCCCTTTCTTACATTCATAAAAAATATTAGATTAGTGCTTCATAGCATGTTTGACAATGTAAACTCTCATTTTATTTTTGTATTTTTTGTTGCAAGTGTTGAGAGAGTTAACTGTAAACACTTTTATAATATCTAGCTCATAAAGGTTACCTTAAATATTTCAACATGATGACAAATATTTACGGTTGTGTGCATCTTTAACATACAGTTCTCACAATACTTTGCCATTGGACCACAATCGCTGCACCTAAACTTTGCTTCATTATCACAATGAATACACTTCAGATTGCTCCAATTTTTGCCAGTAAACTGAAATTTATCTTTGATAATTGAATGTCGCAAATTTTCCCATGCTTTTTGTTTTCTTTCAACTTTCTGGTAATAAGAAGATGATTCTTCACAATCATGGTGAACATAAATTTCAAGATCACTGTTATCTTGTTCCATTCCCAGTTCATGGCCTTCCAATGCACCACAATTATCAGGACTGTTAATAGAACAGCTTCCTCTATGATCCTCAGTAACCAATTCTGACAAATGCACCTCCTCTCTCTCAACATGGCCATCCTCATCATGATATGTGACAGCTACAGTTGCTTTAAACCTTTTATTGCTCCTACAAAAATTATCATAAAAATCTATAAAATGAAAATAAATGTTGAAAAGTCTAACAGCTATAAGGCAGTTATTTGGTGTACCTTGGCATGTTTTAAAATTACCAGCAAGAAAATCACAAATCAGAAAATATTATCGATATTACCAATGACACAATAACATAAGTTAAACGACCAAAGTACAACGTATGTATCTCCCACGACTACCAGTCGACGTTTTGTACCCGTACTTTACCGGCTTTTAGCCACGTCTCATAAGACGAATGGAGTGATTTGTTTGGTTGGTAAAATGAAAGGGTTTTTCTTCCGGTATAATGTAGGAGCTTTTTCCTAGGGGTGGGGTAACATATCTCACGTGACCGGAAACGTAAATCATTTAAATTATTCTACAGAATCGACTAGAGCGCCGCACCTGAGATATCATGTAGTTGGTTGTGTCTTGAAATCTTTGTGAATTTGTGAAGGTATGTTGATTTTAAACTTTACCTTTCGTTGTTATATTGTATTTTGATTTTGTGATTTAATGTTTCATGTCCATTTATCGATTATTTTGTTTTTCTGTAAAATATTCTACTTCCGCGTTATGTACGTATGTAAATGTTTTATAAAGATAGATTTGTTGATTTTGGTGAGATTTGGAACTAGCTCGAATCAAGTTTGGAAAATGAACTTGTTAACTTTCATATATCTTTATATAATAATAAAAAGAAATAAATTTCTACTATATAATAGTAATGTTCTACATCGATACACATCATGTGCATGGTCACGAGGTAGTAGAGGAAATAAGATATTCATGGATAATTTCGTAAAAGCACTATTGCTAATGCGTATTTAATATACACGACAAGTTTTTTTAAAATAGACATGTTTCGACATCTCATGATGCCATCTTCAGTATGAGTGAAATAATAAGTGATACAAGGTTTATATAAAAGTAATATGATACATAAATTACAACAATAAAAAGGAAATGAGGTATATTAATGGTGACCATCCGAGCGTATTATAAATTCAATATAATATTTAGGGTTACTATTACATCAAACTATTACATCAAACTATTACATCAAACTATTACATCAAACTATTACATCAAACTATTACATCAAACTATTACATCAAACTATTACATCAAACTATTACATCAAACTATTACATCAAACTATTACATCAAACTATTACATCAAACTATTACATCAAACTATTACATCAAACTATTACATCAAACTATTACATCAAACAACAAGAACAAAGACTGAACAAACTGAAGGAACTCATACCAACGACATTAAGTGATACTTTACTTTCTACGATACAAACCATTGCAGGGAAACGAGCAAACAAGACAGAGACACAACACCAAATCAAACAACAACAAAAACTTGAACGTTTAAAACAAACTAAAACACGTACAAGACATAAACATGACGATAACTGGGTGAGGAATATTTCTTCCCGCTCATTAGACGAAACTGAAACGCGACTACTATCTTACGGACTAAAACATTCCATAACACCTAGACGAATCCCGACTGAGACGATAGTATCAAGTGTCGAGGCTGTCCTAGCGTATCAAAGAGACTTGTCAGAGACAACCAAAGACGAGATCAGAAGCAGGATAGCCTCCACTTTACAATCGTCCTCTATACGTGACAACAACTTGACAAAGGACGAACAACAAGCACTCAAACGACTAAAACACGACAACAACATCGTCATTTTACCAGCAGACAAAGGACGCGTGACTGTGGTCATGGACAGGAATGATTACTTCAACAAAATGGACACCATTGTTAACGACAGACAAACGTACGAACAACTCAAACGAGACCCAACACCATCACTAGTACGCAAACTTAACAACAAGATCTTCTCTATGAGAAAATCTGACATTATATCTGAACGTATTTACTATCGACTCAGATGTTCAGTACCACGACCACCCAGACTATACGGACTACGAAAATTTCACAAACCGCAAATACCCATGCGACCAATTGTATCATTCTGTGGTTCGCCTACTTACGAACTCTCAAAGTACTTGACTGACATACTGCAACCACTTACAAACAAATCAAAACACAAGCTACAATCCACTGAAACTTTCATCAAAAAACTGAGCACTATACAAATACCGGACAACTATATACTAGTGTCTTTTGATGTGAAATCACTGTTCACCAGTATTCCACTTAATCTGGCACTTACTTGTACAAAAACCCTCATTACAAACACTACGGACGTACTGCCATTACCGACAGAAGACATTATGGAGCTACCGGAGTTCTGCCTCACCTCGACTTACTTCCAGTACAAAGGTACACACTACCAACAATTACATGGGACAGCAATGGGCTCACCCGTTTCTGTTGTAGTTGCTGAAATTGTAATGCAATCTATAGAGGAACAGGCGCTCACGACTTACAAACATGCACTACCTTTTTGGTTTCGCTACGTAGATGACACAATCACAGCACTACATGCAGACGAGATTGATGACTTTCACACTTACACATCAACAAACAGAACAGCCACATACAATTTACCAAAGATGTCGAAGAAAACGGAACTCTTCCTTTTCTCGACTGTTTGGTAAAACATGACAATCAAAAACTACGAACAACAGTTTATCGCAAGCCAACACATACTGACCGACTACTACATCACACAAAGCCACCACAATCAGAACATTAACAAGACGTGCACAAATCGTATGTGATTCACCGGATGGTCTACACAACGAAAACAACTATCTCAAACGTGTTTTGGACAAAAACAACTATAACTCTGACTTTATCAAACGCAACACTTACAAACCCAACGAACCCAACGAAACCCAACGAAACGAACAACTTAGTGACAACAGCAACGATACCTTACATCAAAGGTACGTCTGAGACTATCTCGCGTATCTTACAACCATACAACATACGTGTCGCACATAAACCAATCACAACGTTACAACAAGTACTAACGAACATAAAGGACAAAGAACAACCCAACGAACGACAAGGTGCAGTTTACAAAATAAACTGCTCCGACTGCCACGCCACCTATATCGGGGAAAATGGCAGGATCTTAAACATAAGACTTACTGAACACAAACGAGCTACTAAGAAACAAGACAAAACTAACCACATTGCCGAACATCACCGAATCACAAAGCACAACATTGACTGTGACTCAGCAAAATGCATTGCTTACAGTACTGACTATAGACAACGGCTTACATTAGAAAGTTGGTATACCAACTTGGAACAAACCCCCCCTGAACCAACTTTCTAATGTAAGCCGTTGTCTATAGTCAGTACAGTAAGTAATATTACTATACTATAATATTACTATAGATCACAGCAATTACCGGCACCTTACAAACGACTTATTCACAATACAAACAAACCATCAACTAAAAACATTACACTTCACACTAATTCACAATGACAATACACAATTGACACCCACATATTACAACTAAAAACATCACAGCTAAATCACACATCACAACTAAAAGTAAAAATATTTCACTTCACACTAATTCACAATGACAATACACATTTCCTGTACACACAATACAATGACGTAAGAACCAGATAACAAATACGGCTAACCTGACGTTTACTCCTCATTTGACTCTGAAGATGACTACCGCTAAGGTTGTCGAAACGTCAGTCAACAACAAGAAAAACAGTCCTTCTCAGGACTGTACCAACCTGGACGATCTACATTTACAAACATGTAACTTCCTTATCATATAATCCATTTGACACCGCCTCCTTTAGTAGTAATTTAACACCTTTTTGTAAATATAATATCTTGTCTTAACATCCTATTTATTATTTGTCTGAAGATGTCTTGAGTAAAGGCGAAACGTTACAATAAATTCAATTTTACAATATTTTTGGTCTATTTCTATGGCTCTAATCAAAACTTTATGTTGGGCATTAATTTTTATTACACGAATTCGATTTCCGCTCGGCAAGTCTCTCGCTACTATTTTACGAAATGTTGCCCTACTTTTACGGTGTATACCCATTTTCCCCCACTAGGTCTCTGTTTGTTGGGGGTGGAACAAGTTCAAACGTATCATTGTCAATTAACGCTTTCATTTCATCATTCATGGCTTTTTGCCATTTTACTTTTTCATTGGAGCTTATTGCTTGGGAATATGTCGTTGGGATGTTGGATACTCTATAGCAATAATCTACGGTATATGAGACAGTATCCTCCCCCCTGAAACGTCTTGTGTCACATACTTGTCAATATATTTACTCTTACTTCTTATCCTAGTGGGGTATCTTGATTCTCTAGAACGCTGAACAATGTCGAATATTTAGTTCCCTTTCAACTGTTACGGTAGCAAAGACGTCGTACGTGCTTGGCAGACCCTTTAAAACCATTGCAATGAGTAGTGCATCACTTATTATCTCCACGGCTTCTCTTATGGCTGTTGCCGATCGCTCCGCTCGCAATATGTAATCTGTGACATTCTCATTGTCACTTTTCTTCAGCGAAGTGAGTTCCGTGTAAAGAACGATGATGCAAGGTTTTTCTCTTCCTTGATAGTGATGTCTGAGGTTTTCTAAAGCTCTATGTCCATTGTCTTTCGCCTCCCGAATCACAAGAGACAAACTTTTGTCTTGTGGACATTGGACCAACTCTGCAAAAGCGTCAGCCAGTTTTGAAGCTGCTGGTTCTTCTCTCTCACTTGCTGATTCGATAAATACGTCGCACAGTTTTTGAGGACGCATATAGCCCAAGAATTTTACTTCCCATAACTCGTATTTGCTTTCGCTTCCATCGAAAAGCAAACCTCTCCTGGGCCCATAACCTGTTGACTTCGCGTTACTTGCCATATCTTTTTTCATAATATACTTTATACCTTCAGTAACAACCACGAGTGAACTTAATGATCAAACTGATTTTTATCATTTTACAGAACAGTATTTACAGTCTTTATTACAAATAACAAATATTGTTATTGGTCGGAATAGTTCCTCTATTTGAGCTATATATGGTACATAAGGAAATTTAACTAACGTCAATAACTGTTCCTTGGCTGTTAGCCGTGTGAAAGCGGATACATTGGTAAACCAAACTACGCACATACTATTTCCTTAACATGTTTCTGTGGTTTATTAGCATGACTCAACAAAATATAAGACAAATTTTTTGAGCTTTTTTGTTATTTGTTAGTTTTCCAAAACATTTCAAGTGTTAGGCATGTTTTAAGAAACTTTAAATGCATGCAAAGAAACACAATAAGTAAATTGTA